ATATTGATGTTGATACTTCATATAGTAATTGAGTTTTAGTTTCCTTAATGGTTTTTTTGGATGAGCAATTTTCTATTACCTAAAAGGCAGTAAAAACTGGTAAGTGCAGCAGGCTGCAGGAGATAGCAGACTTAAAAACACTTGATAAAGGTCCCTATTTACATGATCATAAGAAATATTTTTTACTTTTAAAGGGTAAGTTTGGTTAATAAAATAAAATAATTATTTTATTGAAATAAAATGTTTATTTAATCAAGCATTCTCCCGTATTAAGCAAGCTCAGGAGAAGTTTACAGGCAAGCAGCAAGTTACAACTATCTTTTACATCTCCTATAACATTCTTGGTACTGTACTGTATGGCTGCACTTTTATGGCATGTTTGGTCGGAAGAATGACACTTTTAAAAAATTTTTTTTTTCTTTTTGTTTGGTCTGTTTTTGAAAGAAAGAATAGTCATTTTTCGAAATATTGCAAAATCTTGCAATTTCTATTTATCTTCTTCAATGGTATTAGCCATTTCACACCAATGGGAATAGAGTCTGAAAAATTTTAATCTAAAATGCCCTTACTTAAGAAAATTACAAACCTAAACATATAAATATTTTTCTCTTTTAATTTAAAATAAATTATAAAATAAAAAAAGAATAAAGAATTTAAATAAAAAAGTTTAAATTTTAAATTATAATTTGTAAAAAATCAATATTTTAACTTCAAAATTTAAAATTATTAATATTTTAATATTTTAATCATAACAATGTTTAGATTATAAATAAAATACTAATATTTGAAAAATGTTAATTTTTAAAATATAAAATTATTCATATTTTAAATTTTTAATTAAAATAGATATTAAAATTTTAAATTTTAAATTTATTTAAATTATAGTAAAAGGTAATTTTGTCTTTTGGTATAAATTTTAGTAAACTATATAAAATGTATTTTTGTTTTTGATGAAAATAAATCTTATTATAATAAAGGATAGGTTTTTTATTTTATTATTTACTCTTTAATTATTCCAAAGTTATTTTTACCAATTAAACTACATAATAGCAATTCTCGCCTTATTTTATTCTATGAACCAAACTATATATACTTCTCTTTAGTTTGTTTTTATGGAGAAGGAATAGTCACTCCAAAGAATAGTTATTCCTCAAAATCTCGAAATTTCTATTACACTCCCCCGTGATATAATTGGCCATTCCATACCTGATATAATAGGGTCAAAAATTTATTACACAAAAATGCCCTTGTTTATTAGAAATAAATACAGCCCTACATTATAAAAGGTTGTTTTTCCTCATTTTCCATTTTTTCTATCTTTCTCTCTCTTCTTGATTTGCCTCTCTCCCTTCTTTTTTTAAGCAAGCTTGCGGCAGAATCTGCGATGACTGGCAACAGATATGAGGAAAGGAAAAAAAGAAGAAAATAAAAAATTGAAAATAAATAAAAAATTAAAAAATTATATTAATAATTTTAATAATAAAATCATTAAATTATTAATGTTTAAATTTTTAAAGAAAATAGAAATTAAAAGATTAAAAAATGAAAAATGCAAATAGAGAAAAAGAGAAATTAGAATAAAAAACCATATTAATAATTTAAAAAATGTTATTGAAAATAGAAATTAAAAGAGTAAAAAAGAAAAAATATTATTAAATTATAGTAATTAGTAATTTTGTCCTTTACATAAATTTTACTATATTATAATAAAGGGTATTTTTGCTTTTGATGAAAATAAATTCTATAATAATAAAGGATAGTTTTGTCATTTTATCATTTATTCCTTGATTATTCTAAAGCTATTTTTACCAACCAATCATTAGAATAAATCATAATAGCAATTTTTACCGTATTCCATTCTATAAATTAAACTTATAATAACAATTTTATTATATTCCTTTCTTATTTTATTTTTACAAAATAACTATTTTATTCTATTTTGTGAGCCAAATGTGCCCTGGGTCTTTGAACCTTTTTGTAGAAGGCTTCTTGCAATAGGGAGAGGGGAAATGTTGCAAAGAAGTGAAAAATTGTGTGGAGGTGGTTGAGAGAAATATTGAAGTAGTTCTTGTGACAGATAGAAGAGAATAGGTAAGCAATAGAGTAAGGTTGAGAATAAGATGAAAAAGGCTAAGTATAAGAGAGTTTGAGAAAAAAATCTTTAGAGAGAGAGAAAGAGAGAGAGCTAAGAGTGAAAATATATGTGCACTAGCTTAAGAAATCTTGTTTTATCTCAAAATGAATTGTACTAAAAAAAATTACTTAGGAATAATGAATAATAGTACTTAAAAAGACTTTAGGGTACATGATAAATCACTTTAGTGTACATGATAAATTGTAGTTACTAAAATGACTTTTATTGTACATAATGGGTAGTAGTTACTAAACCCATTATGCCATAGAAGTAATGGGTTTTTTTAGTAGATTAAAAATATAATAATACTTGTTCTTGAGTTGAAGGTAATTGAAAAAAGGTGCCTGAGAACAAGGTAACAGGAAAAAGGTGTGAGAGAGAAACACTTGTATTTCAAAAAATGATTAAGAGGGATTTTTTATTATCTTCATATCCAATCCACTAAGCTAAACTATCCAAAACTAACTTGTGAATCCTAACACTTATTTAAAGTTACTTTTACTACTATTTACATAATGTAATTATTCCACTTATTCTAGTTGTTTTCATTAATCTCTATATATCATTATCTTTGCTGTAAAAATTCTAAAAGAAATAATAATTTAGTAGCCACAGTCATGTAACACCCCGTACTCGGATATGGTGGCTAATAGAGCTTATTGGATATCAATTGAAGTTAATTAAAGTATTTAAGAGTGTTGGAGGGTGAAAGGAATAATTCAGAATAAAATATTTCGTATGCGAGAAAATAAAAATTTAATAATAATACTTTTATTGAGGATGAATTAGTTAGTTAAAAGGTGAATCAGAGGTGAACTGAGACAAAGTGAGACATTTTGGGTCTCGAGGAGACGAGTAGAAAAATTTAAAATAAAATAATATTTGTTAATAAAAAATATTAAAATATTAATATTATTGTTATCGAAATTAGTTATAAAGGAGGATTATATGACTAATTGAATTGGAGGAGATGAAGTAAGAAAGGATTTTGAAAAAAAACGACATTGGTAGGGCCTGCGTGTCCTTATTAAATAAAGCTAACGTGGGTAAGTATATATTTAAATATTATGGTGATGCCTTGATGAGATGCAAACCTTATATAATATTTGTACACATATAAAGGAAAAAATAGGAGAAAATTAGAATTTAAGAAGTGTTTGAAAGACTAAATTATAAAGCATGAAAGTTTAGAGGGTCA